GTAATGCACGCCTGATTTTTATCTCTATCCTCCTCCTGTCTCCCCTCAGCCCAAAACAGGTCTGATAGATTATGAGCAGCTGGAGAGGAACGCCCGACTCTTCAGACCCAGACTCATCATAGCAGGAACCAGCGCCTACGCCCGCCTAATTGACTACGCTCGCATGAAAAAGGTACATCTTATGTATCAAAATGTCCACTGAGGGATATTAGAACACTGGAGAAGTTAAAAATCTGATGAGAGTAAAATAACTTGTCTGTCTGTGTGTGTTTCAGCTGTGTGTGGAGCTCAACGCCTACCTTCTGGCTGACATGGCTCATATCAGCGGCCTGGTGGCAGCCGGAGCAGTTCCCTCTCCCTTCCAGCACGCTGACCTGGTCACCTCCACTACCCATAAGTCCCTGCGTGGAGCAAGGTGAGGGCCTTGACGTATAGTGTGTTGATGGTGGTCAGGTCAAGTTAACATTGTGTGGTGTTAAGAAACATATTTAAAGGAATATTTCATGTTGATCTCTGTTGTCTCCAGGGCCGGTCTGATCTTCTACAGGAAAGGTGTGCGATCTGTGGATAAGAAAGGTCGGGAGGTGACCTATGACCTCCAGGACAGGGTGAACTTTGCCGTGTTTCCATCACTTCAGGGAGGACCTCACAACCACGCCATCGCAGGGGTGGCCGTCGCCCTCAAACAGGTCCAGATATAAACATGAATCATACATATTCATCCATAGCCTACCATTGACATCATTATCATTCTCTCTACAGGCTTCCACTCCCATGTTCAAACAGTACATCGCTCAGGTGCTGCTCAATACCAAGAGCATGGCTAACGCTCTGCTGAAGAAAGGCTACACCTTAGTGTCAGGTACTGTAGACGATTTTTTTTTCTATCTAATTTGCATTCTGTTTTCATGAAAGCGATGATAACGTCATCTCATATGTTTGAGTGGAGGAAAGTTACAATTTATTTCACCGATAGACACATTTCCCCCTGAGCTGATCTGCACTTTATTTCACCCTGAACTAAAAAGACAGCTCATCTCCCCCTCCTCCTCCTCTCAGGTGGAACAGACAATCACCTGGTCTTGGTTGACCTTCGACCTCGCGGGATGGACGGGGCTCGAGCTGAGAGGATCCTGGAGCTGGTGTACATCACGGCCAACAAGAACACCTGCCCCGGAGACAAGAGCGCTCACACTCCAGGAGGACTGCGGCTCGGTATGGGAAGATTTAAATGTTGTATGTGTTGATACCCTGATTACTGTCAGTGGAGAGCTGCAGGAGTGGAGGTTGTTTGGGCCAAATCTGTCAATCAGTCAGTTCCCCCCCCCCCCCCCACTGTACGTCCATCAGCCTGTCAGTCAGCCTGTCAGCATGTGTCTCCCTTAACCTCGACGTATTATTTAATACAAATGTTGTTATTTTACAGGAACTCCAGCTCTCACCTCCAGACAGCTCAATGAGGCAGACTTTGAAAAGGTTGTGGATTTTATCGATGAGGGGATTCAGATCGCACTGGATGTGAAGAAGAAGACTGGTGAGGAAAGAGGAATAGTTTTTATGCATTGGTATACACACCATGGGGACATTGTTTCTATTGTTGTAGGGAAGGCTTTTGAATGTTTACTGTCAAGGACAACCAGGGATAATGTTGTCAAAAATCATGACGGTGTGTATCAAAGGAAATAGTTGTGTTAAGCTCTAGGTTCTGCAGTACATCATTTATTATATGTTATATAAATATATTCTCAATTTCCAGTTTGTTTTGTACAACATGGCCCTTTTTACAACATTAGATTATATTGTTAAGCGGATTCATAAAATACCAACCTTCAGCTTGTTGTTTTGTTTTCTCTCTCCCAACAGTGAATCTGGCCAACTTCAGGTCCTTCCTGCTGGAGGACCAGGAGACGGTGTCGCGCATCGCGGAGCTCCGCCAGCGGGTGGAGCTGTTCTCCAGACCCTTCCCCATGCCTGGCTTCACTGACCACTGAATATAACACTACGTGACTTGAGGGAGGGTCATGGACATTTTATTAATTCCCCCTTTACGGTAACCAATCTTTTGATAATACTTGATATTATAATGATGTGCATAATTATTGTGGCTGCCATTGGAGTCTATGATTAAAACGACTTCATATGTAAATGTACAGACAGGTGTTGATAATAATGATTTTGATTATACATGTGTACAGTGACCTGATCATGTTGCTCATAAAGGTAGTCTATCCTCCAGCTGCTGCCATCAAATTGTCTCCAATTCTCAAACTGTAATTTTGTTGGACTAAGCCTAGAAGTATACAGTGTGTTTGGTATTTCACTTTTAGTCACTAAGCTGATTCAAGAGCACTTATCGAGTTCTGGGAGTCTGACAGCAGCTTTGTTAGGGAACAAACCGAAAGGGAAAAACAGAACAAACTGGGTTTCCAGTCTTTTATTAATCACCTTCTATATCTTCAACTTGATTTGTATTTGAAAATGATATGTGAAGAATGTACATGCAGTAGATCTTCCTAGTTGCAGTCTTTACAATGTTTTCAAGATGTCACAAGCTCTCTGTAGTCACTTTTCAATACATGGCAGATGATTTGTAACTAGTTTACGAAGCAGGGAGGACACTGCAGAGTTTATAAACACTGATCCATGTTAAGCTGCTGGCATTTCCTCTGGTCATTTCCTCTCACTGTCAACTTCAGGGAATAGTCCAGAAAAAACAAATATAAGCTGATCTTTACACAATTAGATCTGACAGAGGGAGATGAAGCCAGAGCTTTGTCAGTGAGCTTCACATGCCATTTTTTGGAACGGGACTTCTTATCTCAGCGGGTTTTGATTTCTATCTGAATACATTGTTTTAAATTAAACCTCTTTGCATGAACAATGCTAACCAGTGTGTTCCTGTTATAAACAAGTTCCCACTTCCTCTGATACCTTTTTCATTTTGTGATACTGTCTCTTTATTTCTCCCTGCTATTACACAATAACCACAGACAGTTCACTGCGGTATACATGAGAAGACATTAGCAGTGTCATCCATCTCTGATCTTTTCAACTTGCATTTATATTTATTTGAAAGCTTTCTTTGTGTCGCTGCAGTCAGACCTTTATACTCCCAGACAGAGTAATGAGCAGGCTTCCTCTTTTCCATTAAACTTTCATTTTTATGCATTTATTTCTTATTCTGGAGGCATAGTTTCCTCAGAGACAAATAAGGTTTTTATGAAGCATCATTACCTTAATATTTATTTCACTGAAGAACTAAGTTTGTTTGTTTGGTGTCAGACGTCTTTTGTGTCCTGCTGGGCTTTTTTAATGCGTCTTCCAATATTTTCCAGATGAAGGTTATTGCTTGAGTTTGTGCCAGAGGAATGTGTCCGGCCAGCTGAGTCAGAGGTCAAAGGTCGGGGAAGCTCTCACAACTCTGTCGTCAGAAAACACACACACGCAGCATCACAACACAAATAACGACTCATCCCCTTCATCCCTGTGCCTGCTTCTCATGACCCGACAACTCTTTTGACGCAGTTTGTGTGTGTGTGTGTGTGTGTGTGTGTGTGTGTGTGTGTGTGTGTGTGTGTGTGTGTGTGTGTGTGTGTGTGTGTGTGTGTGTGTGTGTGTGTGTGTGTGTGCATCCTTTGGGGAGATCATACTGTATATTCCCTCATGCTTCATCGTTCCTAGCCATCTCTTTATTGCCTAGAGTCCCCGGGGTGTTTAAAGATTGTTATTTCTTCACGTCCGCTGTTCTTTGCTCTCTCTTCATCCGCTCTTTTAGTTGTTTTAGGAGGAAGAGAGTGCAGTGCAGATAGTCTGAAGGGAGGTCTGAAGGTTTCTGGAGTGGATGAAAGAGAAGTCTCTCCTTCAGTGAACAAAGTGACACGGGTTTATTATTAATGTATCCCTCAGAATATGCAAAGGTTCACTAAAACAGTGAAAATAAGGGAGGGATAAGTATATTTCAATATTAAACATGACAAGGAGTCTCAAAGGATAAGAATATCATCCAGCCACATGTTTGGGACTCAATAAACCTGTGGTACATTTATTTTTAAATGACGCCCATAACAGTATGATCATGGTGTTTTAGTTCAGAATAAAGCAAGAACAGAGAGAGCAGAGTTTGGTATAAAGTCCATGTCCTCCCAATAGAAACAGCTTCAAATCAAAAGCTGTTTGCAATATTTCAATCTTTACACTTCTAAATCTGGCAGAGCTGGTGTATGGCTGCTGGTTTTGGCCCCCCATCTGTAACCTTTGACAGGTGGGTCCGATTCTCACTGAAATCACACTGGTAGGAGTTATTCCCCTCTACTTTGAGCAAACTAAAGCAATTTACTCTGGATTCATGGTGTATGCAATGGTAGGGGGGCTTCTTCTAAATATTTTAAAGTAAATTGTAACTTCAACCACTTTCCTCCTCCTTATCTACGTCTGTTTTTAAAGACAAATCTGGATTTAGATGTTAAAAGTCAATGAGGGACATACGTGTTACATCGTACGTGTCTGCAGAAAGACAGAAAGGGACCTGGATTTGTGTGTGAGTGTGTGTGTGTGTGTGTGTGTGTGTGTGTGTGTGTGTGTGTGTGTGTGTGTGTGTGTGTGTGTGTGTGTGTGTGTGTGTGTGTGTGTGTGTGTGTGTGTGTGTGTGTGTGTGTGTGTGTGTTGTGTACACTGTGCTCTGCTGTCATACATGAACGCCATGCTGTGGGACTGCTCAGCATCCTGCCACTGCTGATCAAAGACATTGCTGTCAAACACACTGTTGCACACACACACACACACACACCCACACATACGCACACACACACACACACACACACACACACACCAACTAAATGTGGTTACAGAAGCACTAATCAGGCTTTCAAAGTGACAGCTGCACTGCCAACAGATGGATGTGTTCCATCAGAGTTCCTGATTGTGTATTTTTACCTTGGAAAAAGATCTGTATCTGACTTTGTTCCATGCAGGTGGGCAGGATGACATCAAACACTCTCATCACACATAAAACTGACATTTTATTTTTTGAAAGCATCCAGCCCAGTTTATACGTCTATCACTACACAGTCATTGCTGAATTTAGTGGCTGCTAAACCAACAATAACGTACCGGTTATGAAGAAACACATGCAGACCAGTCACATTCATTTGACATTAAAAGAAAACTTAAAACTTAAAAGCGTTCGTTGCTTTGAGCCACTTATATTACTTTTCCGCTGATAATTTATGGATACATGAAGTTTCAGATATCTTGTGTATTTTTCCAATCTGTTCCAGGCAGCTACTCGTCTCCATATTGTTTTGGACATTAGCCTGACACCTGAAGCTTATTTGCATAATTTACTTCAGCTTTTTTGAGTCTAATAACTGATTTTAATGATTTGAATTGAAACCAACAGATGGCTGACATTTTTATTTTTATTTGTATTGGCTCAACAATGCAATACCATATGTTTTGTGCAGTGTGCATGTCTGTCTTATCTGTCGTGTAATAATGTAGAAATACTACATGGTAAACTTTTTCAATATTCTTATGTGCACTCATGATGCGTTCACTGACCCTCTTGGTGGAATTCACCAGAGGGACAGACACACTAAAGGGTTACAGATTCTGATCTAGGGTACAATTCAGCTTCTGGTCATTGAGAGGAGGCAAGCGAGAGATTCAGAACTCAGGTCCCTCCTTCTTCAGGTTTTTGTAGTCTGTGGTAATGGCCACAAACTGGGGAAGAATCAAAAGTAAAAATCAGTGGGAGGGGAAACCTGATGCAGAGATGTATAACAGAGATGTATAAATCAAATCACAGTCCGAACATCTGTGTGCTGGTTTACCTTGTACTGGTATGTGGGATCAAGATTATTCCACGGCTCAGGGTTGTTGGTCTTGTTCCAGCTAAACACACAAACACACAGACAGAACTGGGATAAGTTACAGGTTCTTTGGAAACTGAGATACACAAATACAGCTTTTTTCAGACCTAAGACACACTAATATTCAGTCAAAAGTGATCTGAGAGCTGCTGTATTTCATCCTTGCTTTAATAGATTACACACAAGAAATGATATGACTCAATCCCAGCACACAGTTTGAGCTTTAAACCTGCTTTGGCAACACCATGAGATCTTTAAAGCTCATCAAGTAAAGAAGAACTGCTGGAAAGAAATAATGGAAGACAAGAAGTGCATCATCCTGTGAGCACTTAGTTGCAGTTATTGGAACATCATTATGGACAAATAAACAGTTTGAATAGCAGCAGGAGGAGAGGAAGTTGAAGAAAGAGGCGTTTCAAGGGAGGATTAAAAGCAAGCGGGAATCCCTGTAGTCCTTCACATCATAAAATAAATCCCTCTGCTCAGTTAGAGTGCAAACGTTTTCATCAACACTCATTGAAATTAGCATTTCTGGATGAAAGTCTGAGAGGAAGGAAATCTAAAATCCATGATTGACTTCTTATCTATAGCCATCCTGTCACCACTCTGTAGGGAGTCCTTAATGCTTCTTTGGAGATTGTTGTCTTATTGTTTCTTAAATAATGTGAACATTTGCTTAACAGATATTTAAACCAGAGGAAACACACACATTAACCAAATAAAAAGCAGATTCCTAGCAGCCTCAAGGTGATGCATTTGTTTATAAAGATGGAACAATCTATTGTAGATAGCCAATCTTCAGTATTGACTATATAATGATGATACTGTTATTGAAACGTTTGTAATCCAAAACACCATGTACTGACAACTTTTTCTTTTGCATATTAGAAGAGGTTCTTACGTGACATGCGGTCCTTTGGCCAACCGTATCAGATACATCGACGCCCCGCCCATTCCCAAACAGATGAAGAAGAACTGGGGGATGAGCTGCAGACACAGAGAGACATGATCAAAACATTAGCCTATTCCGTGTTGTCTTTTTCATCATACCTAATTGGTGATCTCAAGTTATATTGTGCTGCTTATAAATGACAACACAACTTGTTAACAGAGCAATTCTATTATCCATATTCACAGTAAATTGTTTAAAGAAAAGTTAAACCGAGACCATTCTTTGTAAAACTGATCCCAATTTCACAATGTACAGATATTATAAGCGTCTTTGAGCACCTGTAAAAGCGCTAACAAATTAAATCTATTATTATTATTATTATATCTCTCTGATAGAATCACTAAAAAAATATGTTGTGGTTTTACATACGAAATAGCTATTCGTCGACAGAACCAGGTCACCCCAGACTGCAGTCTTTACGCTGATATATGATAAATGTTGCTTTAGCCTTTTAAAACATTTAGTAACTCCATGTTAAATGACTGTTGTGTTAGGTGCTCCTTTTACTTTAGAGGACACTGTGTGTTACACTAAGTTAATGTGCTTCACTTGCCTTAGCGACTTACTGTTGATCTGTCACTGGTGCTAGTCATTAAAGTAGAATCATGTCTGCCAGAAAATAAGCCGGTATATACATTTATTTATTATTAAAAATTCCTTTTCACCCTTGCATCAGCCTCAGTCAGTTTCAGCCTCATACATCCTGTCACTGTGTTAGCTGACTGTCTTGGTGAGTATGCAAATATAAAAGCACAATCTGAATTTTGAAAGGTGCAGATGCAGATTTTTTCGAAGTCACTGTACTTATTCAACTGAGAGAAACTCGTATGAATCCCAGGCCAACTTGTTTTTTTTTATGGAGGGTCGGAGGTTTAAGTGGTGAGAATGGAAACATAAACCAGTTCATAGGTCAATTGATTTGGACCCTCCGCAGAAATCAAAGTGAAGAGAAACTTTCCATTCCACAAAACAGTGGATTTTCCCATGTTCATTTAGAGTAAAAAACACAATCAAAAACAGGGACAAATCAGAATGCAGCTCTGGATTAGTGCCACTCTGATCCAGGTGGCTCCAATCTCCTCTCATTTGGAGCTAACTGGCAGTCAATTGCATTTGACAAAAAATCAAACCCACTTGGTGGAGTTCATGAACAAGGTCACATTCCCATCAAAGGAACTCATTACATTTAAAGCAGGGAAATTAGATTACGGACATATAAAAGGGGGTCCATCAGGTTATTGCAGTGATTTAAACAGATAAAGAAATGTGTAAAATTGTTCACAAAAACAAGAGAAGTAGTGTCACGTTGTGTTGGCTCAATTACAGTCTTAATGGTAACCTTTTTTACTTAACTCACATAAAATCCCTGAACACAGCATGCAGACATAACATAACAGAAAACTGTGTGTGCAGAAAGACAAGTGAACACTGATTCCTCCAAAATCACATGATCATATTGACAGGCGAGGGAACCCTGCTATCGGCACACATAGCAAAATTGACACAAGGAAATGTATTGGGAGTTAAGAAAATAGGCTCTATGACAACTACCATCAATATATACCAGAGCGAATATTAACTGACTCCCATTTCACTATAAGTGATTTCATATTTATTCTCCACAAGGTTTTTTACAAGTTGGAAATGTCTTTGCTGAAGCGGCTGAGATTTAGGCTGTTGTTGGACCCGATGCATGCTTTATTTTTCACCTCCTGTCTGCAGATTATAGTCACTCAACTCTAGGATTAACGGCTGCCATGCTTCTGCTCGGGCACCCTGTGTCAACTGGAGAAACCTGCTGACACACAGCACTGTGTGGTGTGTGGTGTGTGTGTGTGTGTGTGTGTGTGTGTGTGTGTGTGTGTGTGTGTGTGTGTGTGTGTGTGCGTGCGTGCGTGCGTGCGTGCGTGCGTGCGTGCGTGTGTGTGTGCGTGCGTGCGTGCGTGCGTGCGTGCGTGCGTGCGTGCGTGTGTGTGTGTGTGTGTGTGTGTGTGTGTGTGTGTGTGTGTGTGTGTGTGTGTGTGTGTGTGTGTGTGTGATGCTGATGGAGACTAACAGAGTACATTCACTCAAGTGCTGTGCCTGAGTAAACCTCTGAGTTACTTCTGCTTGGTTTTACTGTTTCCATTTTATGCAACTTCTGCTACATCTCAGGGGAATATATAGTACTTTTAATATAAGGTACTTTTGAACTTCAATATAGATCTTTGACAGCAGCAGGAACAGAATATCTTTCAACGTTTTGGATCACCTCAACCATTTCTTCTTCATACTTTACACATGGTTTCATTTGAATAACTGTTTGGGGCCCCAACAGGTACAATAATGCAATGTTTCGTTCAAAAAAAGAGAATAGAAAAAGGCATAGATGATTATAGTATAAATCTTTTTAGCAGAACTAAATCTCCTGACCCTTATATTAGAAACTACTGTACTAACATACCAGTATACAAGTCAAATGCTGATTCAGTATAATGTCTATAATGTCAATATAATATGTCTTGTCAATCACAAAGGACGTTTTTTCTACAAGTGCTTACCGAATATAAGTTACATTTTGCGGATTAAACCTCTGCTATTATGTACGACTTTTACTTGTAAAGTATATTGACATCGGAGAGAGAGAACCAGCCATGGATTTGATAATGCAACAAAACACTTATTACTGTCAGCTAAAGATTTGCTGCAACACGACTGAATGATCATCACGTCTTTCTTTAACTCTGACTGCCTGTCTAACTGCTGTCCCAAACCTGCCTCGATCTGCCACTGAAATTATTCAGTTATTCTGATGATTACTTATACAAGTGAAACTATATTTTGGAGTTGTGAGTGATTTTGGACAGAGTCAATGTAGCAGCCACCTGTCTCGCCTTCTGTCTGTCTTAAACTACCCGACAATCTCTCTCCGTCTCACTTGATCGAGGAGTTTTGATGGAGTCCCAGAGGGATGTGTTCCCTACTGCTCCTCTCTGCCTGTCTGTCTCTCAGCCTGTCTGTCTGTCAGGATGATAGACGGCATCACGGAGTCTCTCAGAGATTTCCTCGCTGCAGCGTCCCTCTCCCTCTCCTGGGAGGCACATGACGAGAAGTTCAAACTCTGTCACTTGGCTCTCTGACAGCAGAGCTGGTTAAAAAACATGCAGAAATAATCCAATCCCCTGTAGGGACAACTGATATGTTCACATTTATTTTAATGCCAACCACTCATTTCCTACATGGTTAGATATTGTCAGTTTAGATTGAGGAAGGTTTCTAAAAGTCATGGATGTGTTTTAAAGTCTTAAGTCTCAGTTTGGCTAGATTTTCAATGAGCTGCACTGGAGGAACTTAACCTGTTCACTTAGTTAAAATAAGATGATGTGAGACTAAATTAGACTGCTGATCACTTCAATCATTTGCAAACACTCTAAAAACCTTGCGGACAATCATTTGTTGAGTTTCATTGACTAAAGCTGGAACATGTGCAAAAAGTTACACTTGAACATACCGAATATTTTTGCCTTATTCATTGAGCATTCATGTTCAATGAGGCATTATGTTAACCCTTTCATGCATAGAGGCTACTACAGTGGACAGCTTTTCAAAAGGTGTTTTCTTGTATATGCATGGGTTTTGATGGCATAGTTGCACCATCAGCCACTACATACGACCCTATTGCATCATCCCATACACTGCCACTCAGTGGAAAGTCAATGCAAGTTCATGATACATTTCTCTAAAGTCTAAACCAAGATGGACGACAGAAAGCCAGATGGACCGAATCACTCATTGATATCTTGCCAATCCTTTTATGGAAAGCGCTCCCTGCAGGTATAACAATGTTGGTGACATCAAGTAACAACTAAGGAATCATATAATTCATTAATTGTCAAAGTATTGATTTTATGTTTGCAGGAAATTGGAAACCTGTCCACTAAAGTGGATGTCATGCATCACTGGCTACTAAAATTCATACTGTTACTGCTACTGTTGTTCTTGAAAATACTTAATTTGCAATATCTTTTTGGGCTTTAGATCAATATACTTAAGTTATTATAATGTATTTTTAAGTTTGCACAACTTTATTTATCATTTTTTCCAAATGTACATGTCTTCAGTTCAAACTTTAACGCATACACCTGAGTGGACATATAAAAAAAATAATTCTAAATTTGAAAAAACTAGATAAAATTAAACTAAAGATAAAATCTTGTTTTTAATGCCCCAAGAGCAATAAAAACAGTTGGTTAAAAAATCCTGAGTGAGGCTTTCATAATTCATGCATGAAAGGGTTTTAATCAATACATGCATTTTAAGATGACGTGATATTATTTATATTAAAATGCTATCCTACCATACAGACATACGTCACATTTTGGTTCATAAGCTTTTTATGCATTTTAAAGCCTAAACACTGATGGATCTGCAAATTAGCTTCACAGCCTATTATCGCATTACAATGACTTTGCCATGTATAAATCACTGTTTAGCTCTAATGGTACAGTTACATAAGGGAAAGGGGCATGAATAAAAGCCAAAGTACTTCTAACCTAAAGATGATAACCAGGCGTTCATGTGAATAAGGTTTTCAATGTTTTCTTACAAGCAAAATTCTGGAGAATTAAGCATTAAGAGTTTGTTGTTCATTGCAGCTCGAATTCAAACTTTAGCTTAAAAATGTTTGGATATGAAAACAGGTAAAGAAAAAGTAAATAAATAACTATTACTCACGCCAGGGTGCCTCTTAGCATGCTCCATTGCTGTCCGAAATATCATTGCTCCAGTTTAGAGAGATGTAGGAACAATGCTTGGAATATAATGAGTTTCAGGCCCTTGTTATCAAAAAGCAGCCGTGCACAGACAGCATTTAGACCTGTTGCTCTCTGTGTGTGGAGGGAGGAGGAGGAGGAGGAGGAGGAGGAGGAGGAGGAGGAGGAGGAGGAGGAGGAGGAGGAGGAGGAGGAGGAGGAGGAGGAGGAGGAGGAGGAGGAGGAGGTCATGTGCATCTGATCACAGCTACTTCTGCTCCCTCGTTGGGGTGGTCACACCGGACACTGTGAGACAGTTTATATTCAAATGATAAGGTTTCACCCTAAATGCGTATTAAATATACAGGTCAGAGACATTTGGTGCTCATGTCAGGGTGTCCTATCAGAAGAAGGTTTGTGAGCTCCTGCAGAGATAAAAAGGGAATCATTTTGGCCCTCATTTCCTTCACCGTATAGTTTAAAGACGTGTTCCTTTGGGAGCTGACGGAGAAAATGGAAAAGCATACAAACACTGTGTCCTTTCAACGGCCACTGGGGAACATCTATAGTCTATTAACCTCCTCAGCTGACCTCATCATATCAGGAAAGATGCATTCAGTGAACGTCCAAAACAACACAGTTCAGCGGACAGCTGCTGCCTTAAAGAGAAAGAGAGATCCGGGAATGAGGCTCATGGATATTGAAATGGAGATGTAATTGAAGGATATATTTTAAATTATTTCTAAGAGAAAAATTTAACTGTAACACACACTTGTTTCATACGACAGAGTCCCCACACGTGACTGTGTAAACAGATTTCGGTCCCCACAAGTATAGTAATGCTAGGTCACACACACAGACACACACACACACACACACACACACACACACACACACACACACACACACACGCACACGCACACACACACATCCTTTCAGGAAAAAGACATACATCCAAAATGAAGTGGCTCTTTTTCCAGAGTCACATCTATGTTTTTTTAATTACTATGAGATCTGCATTAAATAAAATGGAAACTTCCACCTTTAGTTCAAATAAGATAATGATCATTTGCAAGAAGAAGGGGTTTTTTCCTAGCAGCAGAGATTTTTTATAATGACTTCATTAGCCTTAGACGAGGTGTCTGCAGATCCCAGTGTGAGACAAGGCCATGTGTAGAAACAGTATTCACATCCTTTGCAAATGAGCTCCTGGAAGTGTCCTCAAAGCCTTCAATCAGCCTCCATCATGTCTGTGTGTGGGAATTAAAACCATGTAACAGGTGCTCTAATCATGGGACGATTTATATCATTTGTGCAGATTCAACCAGAGTTTTAAAGAGTCACTTCATCCAAAGTCTACCCTTTCAGTATGACACATCTGCTGTGGGCTTGACAGGTTGGTTTAAAAGTGACTTACAAAGGATTTCAACATGACATGTTCCCAAAGTGGGAAAAATAAAGTGTTAAAACATTCAGAGAAACTTCTCAAACTGCTACTGCGACATTCACTTTTCCTCTCTCACCAAAATGCGTCATATTAAAAATCATCCTTTTCAAACAAATATGATAAGGCAAGGCAAGTTTATTTATATAGCACTTTTCAACACAAGGCAATTCAAAGTGCTTTACAAAAAATGAAAGACATTAAGAAAATGGCATTTAAAATCAGTCATTAAAAATAAAAGCTAATAAAATAAACATTAAAAGAAAAAATACATGGATAAAAGTTACAGTGCAGTCTAAGATATGAATAGTTCAATTAAACATTAAAAGAAAAAGTACATGGATAAAAGTTACAGTGCAGTCTAAGATATGAATAGTTCAATTAAAAGCAGCGACAAAAAGAAAAGTCTTCAGCCTGGATTTAAAAGTAGTCAGAGTTGCAGCGGACCTGCAGGTTTCTGGGAGTTTGTTCCAGATATTTGGAGCATAATAACTGAACGCTGCTTTACCATGTTTAGTTCTGACTCTGGGGACAGAAAGATGACCAGTCCCTGAAGACCTGAGAGATCTGGATGGTTCATAATTTAGCAGGAGATCAGAAATGTATTTTGGGCCTAAACCATTCAGTGCTTTATAAACCAGCAGCAGTATTTTGAAATCTATTCTTTGACACACAGGAAGCCAGTGTAAAGACTTCAGAACAGGAGTGATGTGATCCACTTTCTTAGTGTTAGTGAGGACTCGAGCAGCGGCGTACTGAATCAGCTGCAGCTTCCTAATTGATTTTTTAGTGAGACCTGTGAAGACACCATTGCAGTAGTCGAGTCTACTGAAGATAAAAGCATGGACAAGTTTTTCCAAATCCTGCTGTGACATTAGTCTTTAATCCTAGATATGTTTTTTAGGTGATAGTAGGCTGATTTAGTAACTGTTTTAATGTGACTGTTGAAACTCAGGTCAGAGTCCATGACTACACCTAGATTTCTGGCTTTATCTGTTGTTTTGAACATTGCAGACTGATAAAGAAACCTCTAGCAATGGAGGTGAAAGTTCCTGATTATTCTATGGATATTTTCATACCACTGTGAAAACCTCTGTCCTCTGTGAAGAATACAGACTCTTATTCAAGAATGTGGGAGTGTTTTACTCAATTTCGAGCCGAGTAGCCCTTAAAGAGGAATATCTGTTAACAATAAAACAAATAAACATGTGGTCAGTTATAATACAGAACTAGATAAAACTACCCTAAAGTGTATATAAAACACTTTAAATTAGCTCCTGCTTACTTGATATGTACTTTGTTATTTACTTGTCACTATTTACTTTTCATATTCAAACTATATTTTGTTAATAAAACGTTGTAATACTTTAGTAAACATTTTATATTCAGGACATTATTCACTCTTATTTGTTATAGCTTTACATTTACATGAGAATATCTTCTAAATACACTGAACACAAATATAAATGCAAGACTTTTGTTTTTGCTCCCATTTTTCATGAGATCTAAAACATTTTTTATATACACAAAATAACCATTTCTCTCAAATATTGTTCACAAATCTGAAAAAATCTGTGAAAGTGAGCACTTCTCCTTTGCCGAGATAATCCATCCCACCTCACAGGTGTGGCATATCAAGATGCTGATTAGACAGCGTGATTATTGCACAGGTGTGCCTTAGGCTGGCCACAATAAAAGGCCACTCTGAAATGTTCAGTTTTATCACACAGCACAATGCCACAGATGTCGCAAGTTTTGAGGGAGCGTGCAATTGGCATGCTGACAGCAGGAATGTCCACCAGAGCTGTTGCCCGTGAATTGAATGTTCATTTCTCTACCATAAGCCGTCTCCAAAGGCGTTTCAGAGAATTTGGCAGTACATCCAACCGGCCTCACAACCGCAGACCACGTGTAACCACACCAGCTCAGGACCTCCACATCCAGCATGTTGATTTTATGTGCTTTTTTAACGATAAAATTGTTACTCTTAGAAACAAAATTAATGACCTCTTGCCTTTGACCAGTATAGTGTTATCAACAGCTCCCGGAAACGTAAGTTCTAATATTACACTAGATAGTAAACTAGAATGCTTTTCAGCCATAAACCTTGAACAATTAAATTCAATGATTCTCTCTTCTAAACCATCAACGTGCATGTTAGACCCAATTCCAACTAAGCTGTTGAAGGAAGTTTTTCCATTAATTAGCACTTATTTATTAAATATTATGAATATGTCTTTATTATCAGGCTATGTTCCACAATCATTCAAAGTAGCAGTGATAAAACCGCTTCTTAAAAAGCACAACCTCGATCCAGAGGTTTTAGCCAACTATAGACCTATTTCTAATCTTCCGTTCCTCTCAAAAATTCTTGAGAAAGCAGTCGCAAAACAGTTGTGTGATTACTTAAAAAACAATGATTTATTTGAAGCTTTTCAGTCTGGCTTTAGAACACATCATAGCACAGAGACAGCTCTGGTTAAAGTCACAAATGACATTCTAATAGCCTCTGACAAGGGACGTGTCTCTATTCTTGTTTTGCTCGATCTCAGTGCTGCATTTGATACTATCGACCATGATATCTTATTGCAAAGACTAGAGCACTTAGTTGGCCTACAGGGAACTGCTTTAGACTGGTTTAGGTCCTATCTATCTGAACGCTCTCAGTTTGTACGTGTCAATGATGAATCTTCCACGCAAACCAAAGTTAGCCATGGAGTGCCACAGGGCTCAGTGCTCGGACCTATTTTGTTCACATTATATATGCTTCCGTTAGGCAATATTATAAGGAATCATTCTGTACATTTTCATTGTTATGCGGATGATACTCAACTATATTTATCCATCAAGCCTGATGAAACCAATCATCTAAATAAAATTCAAGACTGCCTCAAGGACTTAAAAACGTGGATGACCTTAAACTTTTTGATGTTAAACACGACCAAAACTGAAGTTATTGTACTTGGCCCGAAGAATCTACGAAACAAATTATCTAAGGATATACTAACTATGGATGGCATTAATTTGGCCTCCAGTGAGACTGTAAGGAATCTTGGTGTTATATTTGATCAGGATTTATCCTTTAACGCCCACATAAAATCAATTTCAAGGACCGCCTACTTCCATCTACGTAACATTGCAAAAATCAGGCATATCTTGCCTCAAAACGATGCAGAGAAACGAGTCCATGCATTTGTTACTTCAAGGCTGGATTATTGTAACTCTTTATTATCAGGGTGTACCAAGAAGTCAGTCAAGTCGCTTCAGCTGATTCAAAATGCTGCGGCTCGTGTACTAACCAGAGTTAGGAAAAGGGACCACATTACTCCTGTTCTGGCTGCCTTACACTGGCTCCCTATAGAACACAGGATAGAATTTAAAATTCTTCTTCTCGCCTACAAAGCCCTTAATGGGCAGGCGCCATCTTACCTTAAAGAACTCATTATACCCTACTGTCCTACTAGGGCATTGCGTTCCAAGAATGCAGGGTTGTTGGTTGTTCCTAGAGTCTCTAAAAGTACAATGGGAGCCAGAGCCTTTTCTTATCAAGCTCCACATTTGTGGAATCAGCTTCCAGTTTGTGTTCGGGCGGCAGACACCCTATCCGTTTTTAAGAGTGCGCTTAAGACCTTCCTTTTTGATAAAGCTTATAGTTAGGGCTGATTAGATCCAGCCCCTAGTTTTGCTGATATAGGCTTAG